AGCTCAGCTGGACGGAATGTTGGTCGGTTGAGTCAGCTCGGGAATTATCATCGCTAGCTGGTTGGGTAGTGAAGCTAGCTGGTCAGTTAGTTGATTCAGCTGGTTGGCTGGCGTGAGGATGATCGGATAAGGGATGATCTCGCACGTAGTAAGTGTGTGGCACGGTTATATTATAACGGATATGACTGTTACTGAATGGGGACGTGACACCCGTTCGTTTAATAAATGGTTATAGACAAAAATCCTATAAATAGCCCGTGGTCATCTTCTTCGCGGACACACAATCTTTTCACGGGATTTTTCCTAGAAAACACAAAAAAATATCCGAGAGAGGAGGATTAGTCGAGGGAAAAAAAAGAGATAACACCGGACGTTACCAGCAATAATCGAGCAACGAGATAATCGCTGGACTGCGAGTGAGGAATCTCCGAGAGAGAAACTTACCGAGGGACGTTCCAGCGATGGAGTCTTCTGCGGACAAAGATCGGGGGAAACACACCGAACCATACGAATGTACGGCAAAGGTGAGCACGATGCCGAGTAACTTAGCCGTCAAATTCCTAACTATAGCCGAGATAGTATGGGACGGTTATGCAGTTATTCTGCCAGACTCTCTTTTTCATTGGTCATATTCTTATATATGCTTTCCAATGTGGATAAATCGATCATTAGATGGTCAGATCTAGGATGCGTGACTAAGACTTCAGTCTGTCACGGTCGGTCATGACAGTTCTCGATAATCTCGGCTATTCCCCAAATAGTTGCAGTTATTGGTGAACGGTTATGACTAAGACATATAGTCGAGTACAGTTGGGAAGGATCGGCTATCCGAGGGACTTGGGTATTCGCGGATCCAGCAAGCGGCTTGGGGATCGGACAGAATCCGCCAAGACCTGACTGCGGCCGAGAGGAAACTTGGGTTTTCCAAGATAGCCGGGTGATTAAGGGATTTCTACGGGATAATTTTAAGGGATGGGAACATATAGTCATTGATAGGCGAATATGTATAACAAAGTAAAACTTGGATTACTTATGCCTCTTTGATTTCAAGAAAGGATGGTGATCGTGGGAAGGACTTGGTCTAGATGCGCGAGACAAGGTCTAGGAAGGATGGGTGGTGATAGACTGGATAGACTAGGATCGAACATTGTAATAGCCTATAGTGCAGACTCTAGCAATTGCATCGAATCCTTTGTTATATTAATAAAAATCCAGTTTGTTGTTTAATCTCTTTACAGATTGACTATATTATTTATGAATCCCAGAATAATCATATAAATGAACGTGTTTAAAGAATGAACCCTTAAAACGGAGTGAATGGGCTTGGATCACTTACTGATCCGAGTGGGAACAACCTCTCGGACTTATTAGTTGGGATGGGGTGTTTCAACTTTGCTCCAACAAGATATGCTAACCCCTGATCTGGTTGAAGAGCTGAGAATCAAGACTGAGGTAGATGAGCTGTTAAGCAACATTGGACTTTAGAAATTTGCTAGTCTTGGGTATCCAACATACAAGCAACTTTCTTGTAAGTTCCTTGCAAGCTTCAAGGTCTGCTTCTACAAGTTTTATGAAGAATATGATGTAGGAGAAGAAGATTTTAGCAATGGATTCATCAAGTTCAGAGCCAACAAAGCATGGTACACCATCTGATTCACTTAGCTTGAATAAATATTTGGATTTGATCAAGGCTCAAGAGCATAAAATATGAGCTTCAAGCACAACAAGCTAAGGCATGTGTGGGAGGAGATAGCGAATGATGCCTATAGAGCTGGTCATCTGAAGAGTGCTAGTGTCCGCCATCCAGCTATCAGATATGTTCATAGGGTCCTCACCAGCACACTCTTTTACAGAAAAGAGCAGAATATAGTCAAAGAAGAAGAGATGGGGTTGCTTGTGAATGGCTTGAAGAACATTATGATGGAGACAAGGCATGGGAAGATTCATGGAGAGCGCTTATGAGTTGGTATTGTGACAGTCCTAATGAAGCAGTTCCTATCTTGCCAACAATAGGCTTTCAACACAAGAGAGAAGAAGCCTAAGTTAGCCATTGGAGGTATGATCACTCCAGTCTTGCTTAGTGTTGAGGTTGAACTTGGCACACCAGATCTTAGCATGATCTTCTTTGATGTCCCCTATCTAAGCAAGATTGGATACCTTTCAGGAGATGTGGAAACTGGATTTGGCTATCAGTGTGAGCTGGAAAATAGGAAGAGGAAGATCATCTTGCCAAGGCAACGCCTCACCAATTTCACCACTTATGAGAACATCCGCTTCATGCCAACAGAAGATGAGCTTTATGATCCTAGAACTGACCCGCTACATTCGATAGTGTAGTCTGTATTACTCCTTTGGGATTCGATACCCCTTGTACTACAACTGCTTTGTTGTGCACTTGCAGTAGTTTTATTTGGATAAAACCTGAGCCTTATCAAGTTTTTGGCGCTGTTGCCGGGGAGTAATAGCTGTCTATCAATTTTTAGTATTAGGATTTTGTCTAAGTTTTAATTTGTTTACTAACTTTCAGTTTCTTTTCTTTGTGCTGGTTTCAGGTGTATGCCTAATCGCTGTACCAGAAGCAACAAAGAGAAGGAGCTTTTGACCTTAGGCATTGACGAGCTAGCTAAGTTGGAAAGGACTATCAGGAAAGCTAAGAAGCAATCTACAATGGTCGCTCCACTTATCTTGGTTGAAGATGCAGAATGTCATTTGGTTGACAGAGAGGGGAACAGGAGGAACGAAGACGGACAGAGGATTGATCAAGATGGAAATGTCATTGTTGAACAGCAGGTTCAACAAGTGGGACAAGACGCTGGAGCCCCTACTGCTGCTGATAACGCTGATGGGCGTTTTGAGCAGAGGACTTTAGGAGACTACAACAGACCTGATCAATTATATGCCAACAGAGCTGCAATCTGCCCTCCTGCCTTCCAGAGGAACGATTTTGAGCTTAAACCTGTCTATTATCAGCTGGTTGGCCAGCATCCATTCCGTACCTTACCTCACGAGCATCCTATGGATCACATTGAAAGGTTTGAGGATTTAGCTTCAAGTGTGAAAGCTAATAGAGTTACTAATGACTTTCTGTTCTGCAAGTTTTTCTCTTACTCTCTTGGAGGAGAGGCTGCATATTGGCTGAAGCAACTGGAACCTGCTTCACTGACCACTTGGGAAGACACTAAGAATGCTTTTCTGAACAAATTCTATGATGATGCCAGATCAGAAGACATGAGGACGAAAATTGCATCCTTTACACAAGGTCCTACTGAAGCTTTTAAGGCTTCTTGGATAAGATTCAAGTCTTACCAAATGGACTGTCCTCATCAGATGGAAATGTCATTGTTGAACAGCAGGTTCAACAAGTGGGACAAGACGCTGGAGCCCCTACTGCTGCTGATAACGCTGATGGGCGTTTTGAGCAGAGGACTTTAGGAGACTACAACAGACCTGATCAATTATATGCCAACAGAGCTGCAATCTGCCCTCCTGCCTTCCAGAGGAACGATTTTGAGCTTAAACCTGTCTATTATCAGCTGGTTGGCCAGCATCCATTCCGTACCTTACCTCACGAGCATCCTATGGATCACATTGAAAGGTTTGAGGATTTAGCTTCAAGTGTGAAAGCTAATAGAGTTACTAATGACTTTCTGTTCTGCAAGTTTTTCCCTTACTCTCTTGGAGGAGAGGCTGCATATTGGCTGAAGCAACTGGAACCTGCTTCACTGACCACTTGGGAAGACACTAAGAATGCTTTTCTGAACAAATTCTATGATGATGCCAGATCAGAAGACATGAGGACGAAAATTGCATCCTTTACACAAGGTCCTACTGAAGCTTTTAAGGCTTCTTGGATAAGATTCAAGTCTTACCAAATGGACTGTCCTCATCATGGTTTCAGTCAGGTGCAACTACTTGGGATCATCTTCAGAGGCATTGACTAGAAGTATCAGATGGCGCTGGATGCAGCTAGTGCTGGAAACTTCAACACCAATAGACCAGAAGAAGCAATCAGGTTGATTGAGAACTTGGTCTGCATCAACAACACTAAGAATGCAGATTTTTAGAGGATGAAACAAGCTGGTTTGGATGATGGAAATCAAATTGCTGAAGTTAAAGCTTGGAGGTTACACACGCCCTCTTCCTTACCATCAGCACCCGGGTTCGAGCAACCATGGGGGTCTCGACTGTTTGAAAATCTCTTTATAATCATTTTAAAACATCTTTTAAATCTCAGCAAAAACTTTATAAATCTTTATAAAAGCAATATTTTGGATTTTTTGTTGGGCCCGTGTTTGGGCCTACATTTCAAAAAGTAGATATTCTCTATATTAGTTTTTACGCTGGAGTCATTGACTATTAAAATACCACAGCCTTGGGGGTTACACACGCCCTCTTCCTTACCATCAGCACCCGGGTTCGAGCAGTCGTGGGGGACTCGACCGTTTGAAAATCTTTTTATAAGCATTTTAAAACATCTTTTAAATCTCAACAAAAGACTTTATAAATCTTTATAAAAGCAATTTTTTTGGATTTTTTGTTGGGCCTGTATTTGGGCCTACATTTCAAACAGTAGATACTCTCTACATTTTATTATACACCTTTTTAAACATCTTTTAAATCTTCATAAAATATTTTTAAAGCAGACCCGACTAGTTACTCAGCCTCATCGACTACACTCATTTCCTGGTTCGAGCAACTAGGGATATAAAAAATTTTGTGGATGGGTTTATAAGCCTTTTTAAATGGTTTTTAAAACGTTCTTAAATCAGCATTACAAGTAACAATTTAGAAGCACCATCCGCATTAATAATGCACCAACAGAATTGATTTATTCATAATTAAAAAAAAGTAAAGTACGATGCAGTTTAGAAATTTTTCAAACATCTCTATGATGTTTGAAAATTTATTACAACATAGATAGCATTGTGGTCATAAAACAAATGAACTCCTTATTTCCTAGCATATAATATCGTCCACTCAGCAGCTTTTCTATTGAACTTCTCCTTGTTAGAGACATACTCCAGAGTATCCTCATTCACGTTATCAGGAAGGTCCAATCTTGGGGTAAAGAGCATTCCCCAGAGCGTCATTAGGATCTATTTCCAGAAAATAAGAAAGTTTCTTTAAAAAATATACTTCACTGCCGATATTAAAGTTAAATTATAACGAATAGAAGATAAAATACAAACATCAGGAATTGTGAAACCAGGAGCCCATCCATTGCCCAACATGTAGAGATACACATCTCCGTTGTCAGAAACATTGGGGTAGAAAATCTTGGTTTTGAATTTGACTTGAAAAATTGAGGAACCCATAAGATTTTAGACATAGATATTGGTAGTTGTTGCATAAGAGCAAGAGTTAGTATGAAAAAATTACAGTTGGAGCTATCATTGGAAACCGTGGGGGAAAATGCATGCTAACACGGAATGTTCCTGCACCATAAGGGCTATATTTTGGCCCCTTAATTGCAGCTTCCCACTCGAAGAGGTTGTCATCCACCGGACCTAAACAAAATATATTTGAATGAAAGGATTAATGATCTACAACAACAAGATTTGAATGAAAGTTTTCATCAACGGATTAATGATCTACAGTAACTTAATCTTCACGTCTTTTCTGTCTCAATCATAAAAAATTTGGGGTTTTCTCAAATATATAACGAGAAAACATGCCATAAAATTATTTTTATACAGAGACGGAGAGAAAACCCCAAATTGGCTATCTGAAGAAGGTCCATCAAATACCTCACAAAATAAGTCAACCGCGAGCTTAATTCTCAGTTGTTCAATATTTGCAAGGCAGAGACTAGACAGGTCTGTCATCATACTCGCACGGCACTCTATAAACTTGAAAGTATATAAACTTGTCTCCTGGAAATTGCTTACCTAGAGTAAAACATTGGTGATTAGTCAGCCAAAAACTTATAGAAAACATAGTCGTTTTTTTAGTAACATACCTTAGGTATTCTTGGTTGCTTTTTAATAGTGAATTCTTTGGAATATCTTGCACCCTTTACAAACCTTTTCAAAAGCACTGGCATTATTTGTGCATATGGGATTGCCGACGTCTCATAATCTGATAATCTGTCCGGGTATCTATCGCTGTCTCATATGCTTACCGACCCTTTCTTCAAGTCAAATATCACGGCAACCCAATGTTTGTCATGCCAACATTTTGGCGCATAGACATAGTCTATGTCTTTGATCATCTTCTTCCCTGTATTGCCAATAGCCGGCAATGTACCATTGATGTAGCCTTCAACGCTTTTTTGTCGTAGTTGTACCACTTCTGACTTCACCGCCATCTTTCCCAGCATTGTTTGAGTGTCAAAAGGAAATGTTTTCCATAGATGGCAACTCTACTGTTTGCAAATATCTTGGACCTATTTTTTCTCCTTGTTCAAAGCAAATGCATAGCAGAATCCATATGCTGCAATAAAACAAAAAAAAATATAACTTTTTACTTTTAAACTATAGTGCGTACTATCAAAGATGACAGAGTGAATGAGATTGCAATAAGTTTATATCACAAGCAGAAAGAATTATGGCACACCTAATGTTTGGCAGATGTTTAAAAATTGAAGTTTAAAAACCAATCACCATTTACTTCTAGTTTAAATGAGATTTCAAATTCTAGTTTTACCTGTCTGGTCATTACAGTCCCTGGTGTGTGGAGGTTTAAAAACCAATCCCCATTTACTTCATGTCCAAGAAAATCATTTAAGATCCTACATTTCGAAAGATATTCGTAAATCTCTCCATATTACTAAGCTAAACATATATAAAAACTTTACTTACTTCTAGTTAGTTGCATTCTTCCATTCATCCAATCTTGCTTTCCTTGATAGAAGATATGGCTGGAATGGGTGGAATATTGGATGAGCTCCACCTTGTTCCAACTGAACGGTAACATCTTCATCTGTCAGCGGTGGTCGCAAAGTAAATCCATGGCGGTTGGAATCGTGTTTCATCACCTTCATCATCTTTGGGATTTTCTGTACAACAAAACAAGAACAAATTTGCGTGTTTTTAAAGTTGGTTTTATAAAATAACATATTCACATGACATAAATTATTATTTACCAACAACAATATTGGTAGCCTCACCGTCACCACCATGATTTTCATCAATATCGCTAATATCAATAGGTGCATCAACATTGCCAGTACGATCTCTTTCATTACCATTTGTATCATCCTTCTCCTTACCATGATCTTCAACATTACCTTCTCTATTGCTAATAACAATAACATCATCTCCAGGATCTTTTACAGCATTGTTATCCTGACCATCTTCAGGATCTTTTTCATCATTGTTACCCTCACCATCTTCAGGATCTTTTGGATCATTGTTATCCTCACCATCTATATGATCTTTTTTCTATAAATCATAAAACATATTGTCAAAGCCCGAAAACTAACTGAAAATTTTTAAACGGGTTTAATAGATGCTTTTTTTTTTACCGCTGCTGCCTTAATCCCTACAAAAGCCTCTATGGTCTCCACTTTGCCAATCAAGGTTTTAAGCATCTCCATCATCTTGTCAATTTTGTCACTGTCAGTCACGAGAGGAGCCTCACATGTTGTTCTACTAGGCTCCACTCATCTGTTATGTTTTTTCCGTATTTGTTCAGATGCTAAAACACCATCTACTTTTCCCTCTATCCACTCGGATCTGCTTAACCTATAGCCTTGCATTACAAGTTGCACCACCGTTGTAAAGTCTTTGTCAATGGGATTTGTCGGTGGAACCAGATTCTTATATTCATGTGGATCCCCAATAACAGTATTGACTAAAACCTGCAATCGCGTAGCAAATACATTTGTAGGAGTTTAGTTAAACCAAAGTAAGCAATATTAAAAAAATTCCACAACACGAAACTTACATCCCGTTGATTGTGCACATCCAAAACTTCTGAAATATTAGGAGTCCGAGTGGCTTTCCACTGTAAACACAACGGGCCTGCAGACGAGCTTGAATTAAATCGACTCCCAAATGTAGTACCTAGTGCAGGCACAGCCGACAAAGCCCACAACGTGATTGCCCATACGAATCCTTGCACTTCATACATAGGTTTTGCAAATGTTTTTGATTTCATCCTCCGTATACTAGCAGATAGGACATCGTATCCCATCTTCCCCCAAGGTCTCACAGAGTAACTATCTAAATTCGAAAACATTTGCAGACTCTCTCGCGGCACTTTTATCGTTGGATTCAAGGCGATTATAATCCCATGAGTCAATATAGCAGCTCCAAGAGAAAGTTTCTCCTTAGCAGACATTCTGTTCGCATTGTTTTCCAGCAGCTGCATCAAATCTTTCACAGTGTACTTATCCTTTTACCCCAACATCCAAAGATAAGCCATTCTCACAAACCTGTGTGTTGGGTTTTGTTTGGGTTTGAGTTCTTCTGGTTCTGGCTCCCAACCACGCAATCTTGTGATTAGATAAAACTCTCTTAGAGAAAATCTCATCGGCTGGTCTGCAAATGCAAACCACAAGTCTTCTCCCTCTGTCAAAATTCTTCTTTGCATATAAAGTGGAAGATCTTTCCAGAAAACTGAATGTCCTCTTTCCTTGAGAGCTTGACAATCGAACTGAGATAAGAGTTTTCGATTTTGGCGAACAGTGTTTTTCCTAACACCTTTTCGACTCTTTGCACCAAGTTGAAGCTCGAGTATTGCATGATTACACCCATTTTGTCTGGCTTAGTCCCAAACTTATATATTCTTGGAGGCAATTTCAGTGTCGTATGCACTTCATATTCCATCATCTGCAAAAGTTTTATAAAAGCAATATTAGAGCAAACGGAATAATATAAAAGAATCATATTCTATTTAAAACCAAACTTTGTTTGTTTAATCAATCACTTCAAAAGGATTCCACACACTAAACTGTTAGCCAATTGAAACATATGGAAAAAATCCTAACATTTTTTGGTGACTAAAAACTTCATTTTTTTATTTACCCAGAACTGAAAACTGAGCAAATTGACATAAAATTGGTGAACATATATTCATAAAACCTTATAATTTATTATAAATCTGTGCTCACAATACAATAAAATTAAATCTCAACTACGAAACTAGGATTTCCGGGAAAGAGAGAGAGAAAGAGCGAAAGACAGACAAAAATAGACCGCTAAAGATTGAGAGCCAGAGTGAGAAGGAGACTAAGAGCGATAGAACAAACCTTTGACGATTTTTACAGATTATCTGAGATACGTTTGGCAAAGAAGGGGAAAAGTTTTAGCTTTTTCTTACTTTTGGCAAAGAAGTTAAGCCGTACACAAACACGATGGGGTGTGGGGTACCAGATAGGGAATTAAAAAATTTTATAAATAATCTTTATAAAAATAATTTTTGGATTTTTGTTGGGCCCGTGTTTGGGCCTACATTTCAAACAGTAGATATTCTCTATATTATCTTTTACGCTCGAGTCATTGACAATTAAAACATCACAGCTTTGGGGGTTACACACGTCTCTTCCTTACCATCAGCACCCGGGTTCAAGCAACCGTGGGGGTCTCGACTGTTTGAAAATCTGTTTATAATCATTTTAAAACATCTTTTAAATCTCAACAAAAACTTTATAAATCTCTATAAAAACAATTTTTTGGATTTTTCTTGGGCCCGTATTTGGGCCTATATTTTCAAACAGTAGATATTCTCTATATTATCTTTTATGCTGGACTCATTGACTATTAAAACACCACACCCATAGGGGTTACACACGTCCTCTTCATTACCATCAGCACACGGGTTCGAGCAACCGTGGGGGTCTCAACTGTTTGAAAATCTTTTTTTAATTATTTTAAAACATCTTTTAAATCTCAGCAAAAACTTTATAAATCTTTATAAAAGCAATTTTTTGGATTTTTTGTTGGGTCCGTGTTTGGGCCTACATTTCAAACAGTAGATATTCTCTATATTACCTTTTACGCTGGAGTCATTGACAATTAAAACACCACATCATTGGGGGTTACACATGCCTTCTTCCTTACCATCAGCACTCGGGTTCGAGCAACCGTGGGGGTGTTGACTGTTTGAAATTCTTTTTATAAGCATTTTAAAACATCTTTTAAATCTCAACAAAAACTTTGTAAATCTTTATAAAAGCAATTTTTTGGATTTTTTGTTGGGCCCGTGTTTGGGCCTACATTTCAAACAGTAGATATTCTCTATATTACTTTTTACACTGGAGTCATTGACAATTAAAACACCACAGCCTTGGGGGTTACACACGCCCTCTTCCTTACCATCAACACCCGTTTTCGAGCAACCATGGGGGCCTCGACTGTTTGAAAATCTTTTTATAATCATTTTAAAACATCTTTTAAATCTCAGCAAAAACTTTATAAATCTTTATAAAAGCAATATTTTGAATTTTTTGTTGGGCCCGTGTTTGGGTCTACATTTCAAAAAGTAGATATTCTCTATATTAACTGTTACGCTGGAGTCATTGACAATTAAAATACCACAGCCTTGGGGGTTACACACGCCCTCTTCCTTACCATCAGTACCCTGGTTCGAGCAACCGTGGGGGTCTCTACTGTTTAAAATTCTTTTTATAAGCATTTTACAACATCTTTTAAATCTCAACACAAAACTTTATAAATCTTTATAAACATTTTAATACTTCTTTTAAATGTCATCCAACAAAATTTATAAAGATTTATAAAGATTGAAAAGGATATTTAAAAACCTTTATAAAATGGATAACTAAACAACAATGTTTTTTGTGTCGTTTGAGTGGCATAATGTTCCAAACACCATCAAACTTACACACTGAAGCAATGACCACTGGACTCTTTTAACCATAAATTTTGATATTGCAGTCTAGCATAATAAGAAAAAAAATCAAACTAATGATTTCAAACAAGAAAGGGAATGTCTCTTTTCCGCTCCTCTGTGCATCCTTGCTCCATCTCCTGTCCCTATACACAATTAGATCTACAATGTTTAGATTTTTTTTTGTGGAATGCTTTACAAAAGATCATTCTCTTGTTTTTTACCTTACTTGTCAAATTACAGTGCTAATAACTCTGAGAAGAGATCAGCAGTAAGCTTCAATCTTATATCCTCGATGTTTTCTTCGGAAAGCTTCGTCAAGTCCTTGATGCGCATCGAGTGGCACTCTATTAATTTCAATACGAAAATGCATGTCTCTGCTATTTTAGCAACCTGATACAAAAGAAGAAGACAAATAAATATAACGCCATATTCAAAAGTTTATGGAAACATGATGACATTTATTTTCTAACAAATACTTAACCTATGGTACTTCTTTTGACTCTATTTGTATACTGAATGGAGAGGTAACAATCGTGTCATCCTTGGTAATTTGGCGAATGATGTAAGAAATTGTGTGTGCATACGCGCCAATGTATGTATTGACCTGTTCTTCCGAAATCTTTGATGCTGCACAGTTCAGTACGGTTATCTATCTCTTCTCAAGATGAAAGATCAATGCAATCCAGTATTTATACTTGATCCTCAACGGCGCGTAGATAATGCAGATGTTTTTCTCTATGCCATGACTGGTGAATTCAGTCCCGAATTGAAACCCGTCCTTGTCATCTGCAAAAATATCATAAATCTCATCTATTGCTTTCAAGAACGATTCACCAACCATCGAAGCACTTTTGTTCAAAAACAAATGAGGATTTTGTTTCTTTTGCATCCTCAATAACTCCAAAGCTGCTTCCATATGCTGTAAGACAAAAACAGACAATTTTTAAGATGCTCCAAATTTCAAGAGAAAACATTTTTTCGCAGGACTAAAATGTTTATAAACTTACCGCTTTCGTAAAAGCATTTCCTGCTGTCTCCAGCGTGGTAATCCACTTTGGATCTACGGTGATGTCATTAATTTTCAGTGGCCTGCATTAAGAGTAGACAGTAATTGTTACAAATATGGCATCACATCTTTTATATAGCTTACAAAAACTATGCTTACAAATTTGACTGTTTCCATTCCTTTATTTTCTCCATTCGCATCTTATCAACCGGCTCAAAAGGATGAATTAATGGATGTCTTTTCCTTGCTCCCGTGTAAGGTGGTTGTGTAAGAATCGAAGGCACCTGTCCTCTATGGCTTCTTCTTGCTGGCACTCCATCTGCTTGACATTTCTTATATGCTTTATGTTTCTTCATTTTAGATATTGGTTCAACTTCCTAAAATGCACAAACCATTTCGATGTTTAAAAAGCTGGACAAACTTGTAACTTAACTATATTATACAGGGAACCAACTCGTTTACCTCTGTGTATCCTTCTGCAGCTTGTTTCTTATTTTTCGTCACACTTTATAAATCGGATAAATCTCATTGAGAATTTGTTACATTTGCTTCAATACCCTAGTCAACATTGAGAATTTTCAAAACTTTAGAATCAGCAATACTAGTTGAATAAATCCCATAAATAATTTGGTAAAAAATCTTCAATTACCTCCGCATTGTCTTTGTCATCAGCTCTGTGTCTGCTAGTATCACCTCCATTGTCATTATTTATGCTGTTTTGTAAACTGTCTTGGTAAATAAGATTGAATCTTGGTGTAATATGCGATGAAACCTATACAAGCATAACAACAGAGATGAGATATAGCACTCAATTTATCAATGGAACACAAGCTTAAGTTAAAAAAAATATAACAGATTGGTGTTTCTACTTTACCTCGGGGGTTTTTTCTCACCACAATCTGCAGTTGCCGTACGAGATATATCATTATTACAGCCATTTGAAGCTTCATTGTCGCCAAGTTTTTGGGTACTTTGAAAAATAACTTATGTATCTTCATTGAATCCAACAGAAAAACATAAACCAACAAGCATTATAAGAAATTAGTTTTTGGATTCAAACAAGGAGTAAAGATGAATCATCTTTACCTTCAACAACGGTTGTAGTTTCCTCGTCACCAAGATCTTGTGTTTCTTGAACCAAAACTTCTGTTTCTTCATCGCCAATACCAACAGAACTAGCATTTTTAGCATTAACACCACCAACAAAATCAGTTGTTTCTTCAACAACACCATGTTTTGTGTATTATCATCATCAGCAGCATAACTGTCATATGAATTTGCTTCACGCCGAGAATTCTCTGACTCTGTATCTTTCTGCACGCCATCTTCATAAACATTTTCATTTTCCTATAAAAAAAAGAATCAAACAATGCTCAATCGTCAGAATCAAACATCTTTATAAATATTTTTATATTGTCTATTTTTTACCTCTGATCGCTTGCCATCTGCTTCGTTTTCTTCTGGAATCCCTAAGACTTGCTGGATGATCTTCACTTTCCTGGTCAAGATCACAAGCATATTGAGTATCTTGTCAAGTTTTTCACTGTCAGTAAAAGGAGGAGACTTTGGGGATGTTGTAGGCTATGCGTTTCTTGCTTGCTGTGTCAATATGTATTTGATGCGTTTTTGATGCAGTAACAACATCTAACATGCCGCTTATCCAGTCGGATCTCCTCAATCTGTAGCCTTGCCTGACTAGTTTCACAACTGCTGCAAAGTCCTTGTCAATAGGATTCGTTGGTGGAACCAGGTTCTTATATTCCTCTAGATTTCCAACATAAGTATTGACTACAACCTGCAAACGCATAGCAAATACAATTTTTTTTGTAAAGCTTTATTATTGCATCAAAAACAGTATCTACAATCAAATAAACTGAGAATCACTTACATTGTTTATCTGCTCTACACAAAAAACTTCTAAAATAGAAGGAGTCCGAGTGGCTTTCCACTGTAAACACAACGGGCCTGCAGATGAGCTTGAATCAAATCGACTCCCAAAAGATGTACCTAGCGCAGGCACAGCCGACAAAGCCCACAACGTGATTGCCCATACGAATCCTTGCACTTCATACTGACCTTTTGCAAATGTTTTTGCTTGCATCATGCGTATACTAGCAGATAGGACCTCGTATCCTATCTTCCCCCAAGGATGCAAAGAGTAAGTATCGAAATTCAAAAACAATTGCAGATTCTCTCGCGATATCTTTACCGTTGGATTCTTTGAGATTATAATCCCATGAGTCAAGATAGCAGCTCCAAGAGAAAGTTTCTCCTTAGCAGACATTCTGTTCGCATTGTTTTCCAGTAGATCCATCAAACCTTTCACAGTGGACTTATCTGTCTGTCCTAGCATCCACAGATATGGTTTTTTCAATTTCACGTGTGATGGCCCTGTTGTTTGGTTTGGGTTCTCCTCTGGTTCACAACAACGCAAGCCTGTGGTTAGGAAATACTCTCTGAGTGAAAATCTCATCGGCTGGTCTGCAAATGCAAACCACAAGTCTTGTCCTTGTGTCAAAATTCTTCTTTGCTTCAGGAAGTGGAAGATCTTTCCAGAAAACTGAATGTCCTCTCTCCTTGCGAGTTTGACAATCGGGTTGAGGTAAGAGCTTTCGATCATACACAACTCCCAATCTCCTAAAAGCTTTGTGACTTTATCCACATAGAGTAGGTTCGAATGTTGCAGGACTACAATGGTGCTCTTTGGTTCAGTCCCGGGTTCATATATCCGTGCAGGCAATTTCAGTATTGTATCGAATTCTTCATCCATCATCTGCAAAGTTTACAATAACAATCTGTTTTAAATCAAAACTTGAAGTACATTCGAATGTAAATTAAACGGAACAGTGTTATTATCTATTCGAAACAAGATGAATAAAATCACCCAGAATCAAAAACAAAGAAACTAAGGCAAACTTTTAGCTAAATGATACTCGTATGATGTTTTTCAAAACCGGTGAAATGTTAAGAAACTGGGGACATAGGGAAAGAGATAGAGAGAGAGAGAGATTTATAAAGGCTTAGAAATCTTTATAAATAGGCAACCACAAAGGAGTTAGTGAAACAAATCGGAATTGCAACAAAAAAAAGGGTGGTGATTCACAATTCACGAGTCATATATCTTTCAAAATCGGTAACTAGAGCGAAACAAATCACAAATTTAACCAAAACAAATTCGTGATTCGCATTTCGTGAATCACAAATCTTCAAAGTCGTAACAACAATGGATTCAGCGAAACAAATCACAGTTTAAATGAATAAAATAGCGAATCACATACCTTTTTCCGAGTAAAACAAATCTGAATTTTCTGATCACGATTCGCGGATAGTTTTTTCGCTAACTTTGTCGACTCGTGAAGAAAAGTATTGAGAATGACCTAGGGATAATTTCTCTCTCTCTCTCTCTCTCTCTCTCTCTCTCTCTCTCTCTCTCTCTCTCTCTCTCTCTCTCTCTCTCTCTCTCTCTCTCTCTCTCTAGACTTGTTATCAGAATTTTCCGATCACGATTCACAATCGTCGTTTCGCCAACTTGATCTCTCTCTCTCTCGACTCGCCGATGACTTTTGATTTCTAATGACCTAGGGATAAAATTGTCATTTTAATAGTTAAATAATTGTATTCATAAAAATGTTCACCATGTTGTGGTATTATTGAATAGTGGTACAATGAAAGGTGTACTTTCAAAATTTTCCCGTTTAATTTCGTATTTCTACTTTTACAATATATAATTTTAATTGTATATATTACGGTTTCTGATCAGAATTGTTTCATTAATTTAATGAAAATGTTAATAACTAAATATTTTAAATTTTTAAAAGTTTTTTAAACTATATTATTAAACTGTATATAAAACTCTGCACAAAGCACATATCACCTATTAATTGTTCAAAATGTTTATACAATAGTATTTTTCTGTTCTTAAAGGTTTCTAAAATTATTATAAAGTTTTCAACATAGCTACATCACTAACTTACATAAACATATCCTTAAATTTACATATATGAACAAATTTTCTATTAACACAGTACTATTTTTTTCCAGAAATATTTTTTAACTATGAAGGCTTATTTTAGAAGTCAGTTTGCATTTAATTAAGGACTAGGTGATCGGTCTACACCGTGTGGACTGTAAAACATTTTATATGCTTAATATATGATTGATATTGTATATTGATTTATTAATATTTATATGTGATTAGTTATATTTTAGGTAATAACATTGTATGAACATTAAATAATAAAAAATTATCATAGATCAAATGAAAAGTGTTATAGATTTCAATATAAATTAATGATAAAAAATTATAGAATAAATTATAAATATGATAACTAAATAAACAGAAAATATTCAAATATACAATAAATAGAGTTAGAATATATCAAAAGCATAAAAAGTAAGCAAGATTTTGAAACACTTACAATGTTCATAGTTTTCTTTTGCACATTTTTTTCTTTGTCTGTTATAAGAACTTTAAGTCCAGATCTAGACTTTACTCTATATAATGCAACATATAGCTTCCATAAGAGAAAACTGGTGTAGATATACACAAACCAACATTCTCAGGTGATTATCCTTAGCTTTTGTTGATGGTCACTGCAAAACCTAAAGCCATAGGGAATTGTCTACGATGCATTCTGAATGGGAAGATTGTGTTTGGTGGTGTCACATACATTGTAGAGATTAGAACTATTTAACCAATCAGTTTCTTATTTCTTGTTATAATTCTACCTTCAACCATATGCTGAGCCATTTGAGTAATAATAACTCTAGTTTCATTATATATTCCACCCTTAGGATCAATATTACAAAGACACGAGACTGGAGCATCAACCTTTAATTTCAATCAATGCTTCGGTAATCTATAAACTTTGATGTTATTCAAAAGCTCAGTTGGGTAATCCACAATATTCAATGTATCTTTATCTGAAGGAATAATGCTGTCATAGCTAAGGTATACTTTCTCCTCATAATAAGAATATCAGTAGCAAACATACCAAGAACCCCATATGGTTCTAATGTCAAAGACATAACGTAAATCAATTTTACATGATTGATAGAATTTACTATTGCTGAGGTTGATTGATTCTCCCACTAATACCCATAAACACAGCTTTTACTGGTGGTACAGATATCAGTTGTTAACATTTGACAACAATCATCACAAACACTTTCTACCCATTTGAATTGTTATAGATATCTCAAAATTAAAACCTCATTTCCACTAATGTTTGTGGTAACTGGTGTTTGTGGATACACAATAAAATTAATTTAAAATCATGATATTATATATAATAATCTTTAGAAAAAATTAAAGCTTAATTATTATAATCACAAAATATATATATATATATATATATACAAATTTAATACTTTCCAGTTAACATTCACTAATAACATATCATAACCTAATTAATACATACATATCTAATAACTAAAATTTTCTTAACCTAATTTAAATCTTTAAAAATAAAACTTATTACAAAATTACAAATCATTACTTTCATCCAAGCTGAAAAATAAAAAACATAAACGTAAGTATTATACACATATTAATTATATAGTTTTTATTATTAATTTTAAATTAATAATTTTAAATTAATAATTTTATATTGTCTGACAATAATATAATTTTGATGTTTTTATAATTATATATTATGTTTATATTATTGATTATTGTTTATCCGCTACTGCAAATGCAAGTCAACAGTTCTCAGTATTTCGCATACGCGCCAATTTTTAATCATCATACCAATTGTACAAATTGCTTAGCAACGCTGTTAACCGCAATCACTTATATGTGTGTGTGATTTAAGATGTAAAATAATATATTCAATATTTGATTGTTATATTAAAAATTAAGAGTTTTTCTGTTCCTAATTTTGATATATGTTAATATAAAAATATAATAGATCAAAATATATAAAAATTTAGATTCATGAAATAATGTTTTAATATGTTAGAAAAATATATGCATGAAAGAATATATGTGTAAGATAATATTTTAAAATATTTTAAATAAAAAACATAAGATCGATCAAAATTATATTTTTTATTTTCGTCTTTTTTACTCATATTTCTTTTTATGTGTCTTAAATAATATATTAAACATTAAAATCATCTCCAATGCATTTTTTAGTTTTTTTCTCAAAAATATAGGTGGATTTTTCTCCAACTTGTTTTTATTTTATAGGAAAAAGAAAGGTTGTTACTTTTTCTTCCAATTATAGAAGAAAAAAAAAATATTTCTGTATTTCCTCTAAATTAGAAGATTTAAAGTAAAGATGGGTTAGAGATACTTTAAACCAAAGATGTAGCCATGATTTTTACAGAAAACCAAAGTTGTAGAGATTCATTTTTACTTTTACTTCTACTTTTTGTTCATATATACAGTATTATAAAATAATAAAAGTTTGCTAAGAGGATACTTATGATTTATTTTTCTATCCGTTTATTTTTTGTTTTATTTATAATTTCGGATTCTTGCCATATAATAAAGATGCATTTATGTATGATATAAACTTTTTTCTTATTTGTAAATGAGATTTGTTTAGTATGAACTCAACCAATTAAAACATTTCGTTTATTTTAGAAAATTTGCTATGTCAACAATGGAATACACTAACTTTTTTTTTTGACACATCAGATTTTTTCACTTAAGTGGCTTGTCAAATAATAGTTAGGATTTCTGAATTTTGTTTCTCGACACAATTTGAAACTACATGAGAAAGCAAAGAAGGTAATTTAATTATTTTTCCAACATAAAGACTCAAATTCAGTGATACAAGCAAGAGCCTCTCGCTTGGCCAGCATGGATCCGGTATGAGCTTCAGGCAGTCTTCCTGCGGGTTACTCCAATAGGCGAGATACTCCAGCTGATGGAGGGTCAGAGATCGACGATGTTTTGAATCAATACCGAGATGCTCAGGTAGGGATCGATGGATGGTGAACGTGGAGTTTAAACAAGGGGATCGAGGTGCACCACACGGATGATGGAAGATCCGTGATAAAACATAAACTCTAGTCTCGAAGGTACGGATCTCAACGAGATCAGAGGGTTTCAAGATTTGTATTTGACAAACGTCAAGAAAGAAATTTCTCTCTTTAAAATCAAAGGTAACCCGGCTACAAGCTGCAATGTAACCTTATAAAAGGGTTATTCAGCCAAAAATGAAATAAAGAAAATACAAAAATGTAAAAGAAAACACATAAGGGCATACAATGAATGTAAATGAAAAATCAAGACTTATTTTACACTGAATTATGATCAAAGAAAGATAAACTTCATTAGTCAAAATATGATTGAAATCTTTTAAACACTTACCTTCTTTGCTTGCTCGGATATGATTTGGTTTT